CAGATGATGGCGCCTGCTGCTGCTGCTGCTGCTGCTGCTGCTGCTGCTGCTGCTGCTGCTGCTGCTTCGCGGCGCCGCCGCGGAAACCCTCGGGGGGAGCCAAACCCACAAAGTGCTGCCGAGTTGCAGCAGATATTATGTGGCCCGAAGGGTAAGCCACTATGAGGCCCCGGGGAAAGTCCTTCGCCTTCTTTGGCCCTGCAGCAGCAGCAGCAGCAGCAGCAGCAGCAGCAGCAGCAGCAGCAGCAGAAGTCACCTATTGGGGCAGCAGGCGCGAGCTCCAGCTGCTGGTGCGCGCGCGCAGCCGCGCGCTGCAGCAACAGCAGCACCTCGGGCGCAGGACACCTGCTGCCGCTCTGCTGCTGCAGAGCAGCAGCAGCAGCAGCAGCAGCAGCAGCAGCAGCAGCAGCAGCAGTCACCTGGAGTCACAAGGGCCTGCTTGTGCTTCAGCAGCACAAAGTTCTCGTAGTTCTTCCGCAGCATGTTGCTGCTGGGGTTGAAGCGTTTGTTGGTGAAGGCCTCGGAGATGTACAGCACGCGGTGGAAGGTCAGGCTGCGCAGCAGCTGCCTGCTGCTGCTGCTGCTGCTGCTGCTGCTGCTGCTGCTGCTGCTGCTGCTGGGGCTGCCGCTGCCGCTGCTGCTGCTGCTGCTGCTGCTCCGGCTGCTCCGCGGGCTGCTGCTGCTGCTCCGCCCGGCAGGCGGACACGCAGGGGTCAGCGTGATCTGCGGCGCAGACATCCCGCTGCTGCTGCTGCTGCTGCTGCTGAGCGGCGCAGCAGCAGCAGCAGCAAGCATGCCAGGGTATGACCCGGGATCCCGGGGTGCTGCTGACCCTGCAGCAGCAGCAGCAGCAGCAGCGCGCTGCTGCTGCTGCTGCTGAGGATTCATTGAAACGGCCTGCAGATGAGAGAATCCTTCCGGGGGTGCTGCTCACAGTGCTGCTGCTGCTGCTGCTGCTGCTGTCGCTGCTGCTGCTGCTGCTGCTGCTGCTGGGGACGCTAAAGAAGGCTACCTTCGGATCTCTGGCGCTGCAGTGGACACACTACAAGTGTACAGACACCCCAACGCCGTCGCTAGTGCTCTTGCTGCAGCAGCAGCAGCAGCAGCAGCAGCAGCAGCAGCTGGCATGCGCGAGCTGTGCTGCTAGCAGCTCAAAGTGCATCTCAGAGCCCCTCCTGTGCCTTCAAAATGCATTTAAATGCATTTAAATGAATTAAAATGAATTAAAATAAATTAAATTGAAATAAAATAAAAGAAAAGAACAAAATAAACAACTAATGCACAAAATGCCAAACGATCATAATGCCGCACAGACACCGGCAGCAGCCCGGGACTCAAATGGTGAAGTTTTGAACAAAAGAATTAAATAAAATAAAATAAAATAAAATAAAATAAAATAAAATATTAAAATAAACAAATTAAACATAAATATCAAACTTATCTTCTTCAATTCCATTTAATCCCACAACCAAGAGGCCTGCTGCTGCTGCTGCTGCTGCTGCTGCTGCTGCTGCTGCTGTTGCTGCTCTCGGCGCCAAGGTCTCAAATGCCAGACCTTCATACTAAACCCTAAACCCCAAACCCTAAACCCTAAACCCTAAACCCTAAACCCTAACACTATCCTCTAAACCCTAGCATCAATCCCTAGCCTTAAGCTCTTAGTGAAGGCTCTAAACCCTAATTGTGAAATTTTTCGGGGTTTAGCGCTTAGCGCTAAACTCTAAACCCTTATCATTAAATAAACACTAAGTCTAAACTACATGTCCTAAACCCTAAACCCTAAACCCTAAACCCTAAACCCTAAACCCTAGACGATGTTGCGCCTCCAGGCAGCTACTGTGATATCTTTGTTGCTGCTTCCAGTTGCCGTTTAATATATAAATCCTTTGTCTTACATTTAAGGGTTTAGGGTTTAGGGTTTAGGGTTTAGGGTTTACATCTTGAGCCCTTAGCAATCAAAGCTGTGTACTGGGCGTTGCCTGGTCCCAAACAACCAACTGATAAACCCTAAACCCTAAACCCTAAACCCTAAACCCTAAACCCTAATGCCCGAAAGGGCCGCATGCGCGCCTTTTGACCTTGCTGTTGATGCAGCTGAAAAGATTAGCTTTGAGACGCAGCACTTAGGGTTTAGGGTTTAGTCCAAACTAAACCGAGGGTTTAGGGTTTAGGGTTTAGGCTTTAGGGTTTAGTTCAAGCTAAACAAGGGTTTAACATCTTTCTGATGAGAGTTCAGCGAGATGCAGAGGCGACAAGAGTCTCTAACCCTAAACCCTAAACCCTAAACCCTAGACCCTCGTGTGGCGAATGCCATGTACTGCAGCTTCTTGAATCAGCAAAAGCCTAAACCCTAAACCCTAAACCCTAAACCCTAACATCGCGTTTTCGTGCAAAACCCATTAAAAACGAATTGGAGTTTGCTTCAAAGGCTTTCGCCCCAAAGCGGGAGCTGCAGCAGCTGCTGCTGCTGCAGGCGTTGCTGCAGCGGCTGCAGCAGGCGCATCCTCGCGTGCAGCAGCAGCAGCAGCAGCAGCAGCAGCAGCAGCAGTGGGGCGCGGAGTGGAAGTGGTGGTTTGGGGAGCTGCTGCAGTGCCGCAAATGGCATTCAAGTCCCCCACTCTGTTAAATGGACCTTCTGCATGCAGCAAACAAGTTT